CCATGACCCGGAAGCAGTTGTCCAGCAGGGCTTTGGGTCGTACCAGCTTCAGGCTCAACCTGGGGGTGCTCAGGAGCGACACCACTGCTTCCACCTTGGGGCTGACCTCCACATCCTGGAAGGGAGGAGACCGTGGAGACGGTCAGAACCACAGGCACCACCACCCCTCAACACCAGTGAAGAGGGAGGGCCATGTCCCAGGAGAACCCTGGAGGCTGCCCTGCCTGGAGCTGCACAAACCACGAGAGAAAGGGACTTCCTGTGACAGGAGGCTTATGGGTAATTTCTCTGCCTCTTCCTGCAGGCGCCAGGTTTCCTGGGAGAGTCCCCTTCAAGGCCCCTCACCCAAGCCTGACACAGAGGCTCCTGTTTTCCATCTTTGGGAAAATGACTGCAGGGGGGCCCCCAGGACAGGGGAGAGGTGGGGGCATCCTTGCTGTTCTCACCCAGGCCCGGCCACCACCACACAAGGCAGCCTGGGCTGGGGAGACTGTCCTTTGGGATTCAGAGACCTCTACTGCCCACAAAGAATGAGACAAAGGACCCTCACGAGGATCGTATTATGAGGAGGCCTGGGTGCACGGCACACGGGCCGGGCGGGTCTTTGGCTCCAAGCTCGGGGTGTTTCTCTGACAGTACTTAACAACCGGGAGCACGATGTGGGTGGCAGGAGGGCACAGTGAGGGGACAGGGCAGGGGGCCAGGGCTGTTGCAGAAGACATCGCATAGAAAAGAAATGCAGAGCCTGAGCTGGGGGAGGACCTTCTTAAAGGTGGTTAATTGGGTTGAATTGTATCGGGTTGTGACCTGCCAATCCCCCCATCCCCGAAAAAGCCATGTCCAAGCCCTAACGCCTGGCACCTGTGAATGTGACCCTATTTGTAAACAGGATCTTTGCAGGTGTAATTAAGGATCTCCAGGTGAGGTCATTTTAAATTTAGGGTGGGCCCTAAATCCAATGACTGGCGTCCTTGTGAGAGAAAGGACGCAAGGCACAGAGGGAAAGGCCATGTAAGGGCCGAGGCAGAGGCTGGAGTGATGTGGCCACAAGCCAACGACAGTAGCAGCCAGCAGAAGCTGGAGGAGGCAGGAAGGGTTCTATTTCCCTAGATCCTTCAGAGAGAGCTTGGCCTTGCAGATACCCTGAGTGTGGGGTTCCCGTCCGCAGGCCTGTGGCAGAAGAATTTCTGTTGTTTGGTGGTAATTTGTCACAGAAACCCTACAAACCTAATCTACAAGGACTTGGAAAGAGAAGCAAGGGTGACAGGAGGAGAAGGGGCATGTCCCCCTGGCCCACTCCCCATCAGGGAGAGCCCACTGCCCACCAGATGCTGGGCATATTTGGAGCGGGTCACAGACCATTAACTCTGTGAGAAAGAAGACAGACTTAAAAGCTGGTTTAAACCTGGGGCACCTGAGTGGCTCAGTCAGTTAAACGTCCAACCTCAGCTCAGGTCATAATCTCACAGTTCATGGGTTCACACCCCACATCAGGCTCGCTGCTGTCAGCACAGAGCCTGCTTCAGATTCTCTGCCCACCACACACACACACACATACACTCTCGCTCTCTCATTCTCTCTCTCAAACAAAAACACTTAATGGCAATCAAAAGGAATGAAATCTTGCCATTTGCAACTACGTGGATGGAACTGGAGGGTATTATGCTAAGTGAAATTAGTCAGAGAAAGACAAATACCATATGACTTCACTCATATGAGGACTTTAAGAGACAAAACAGATGAACATAAATGAAGGGAAACAAAAATAATATACAAACAGAGAGGGGTACAAAACAGAAGAGACTCATAAATATGGAGAACAAACTGAGGGTTACTGGAGGGGTTGTGGGGGGGATGGGCTAAATGAGTGAGGGGCACTAAGGAATCTCCTCCTGAAATCATTGTTGCACTTTATGCTAATTTGGATGTAAATTTAAAAAAATTTAAATTAAAAAAAAAATAACACGCATATGTTAAAAAAAACATTTAAAAATAATTTTTTTAAAGCTGGTTAACTCTGAACTCTTAACAACCTGGGTGGACAGGTCTCAACCCACCAACAGCCTCCTCTGCAGCTCCCAAGAGCTCAGAGTCAGGCTCTCGAAGAAAGGCAAGGATGCAAAACTGTCTGTTCAGGTCAGCTCCAACTCACACTGCCCAAGGGCATGAAAGAGCCACCGAGGAGACCTCTGGGCCTCCAATCCCCTGCCAAACCCAGAGCCTCCCCAGAACTCCTAGCAGCTGCGGGCTCCTAAGACCTGGTGTCACCCGCAGCTCACAGCTCCAGCTGGGCAGCAGGTGGGGCTCCCCGGGGCAAGTGTGCCCCAGGCCCCTGAGGACACCATGCGCTGGGGAGTAGGGCAAAATGGTGTGGGCAGGGGGTCCCACAGCACACATGTGGCCTGTATGGGCTCACAGTGACCCCGTGACCTTACTCCATAGGCTCTTTACAGGATGCATCCCTGAGGCCTCAGATCAACCCTGCTGAGCAGGCAGTTAGCAGGAACCTTATCATTGTTATTATTACTGCAAGTCTGTATTTTACATTAGGGTTCACTCTCTGTGTTGTCCGTGCTGTGGACTTGGATGAACGCATGATGTCATGTGTCCATCATTACAGTGTCATACAGAAGAACTGCATAGCCCTAAAAACCTCCTGTTTTCATTGCTCCACCCATTCATCCTTCCTTCCCTGTCTCCCCCAAAAGGAACCTCTAGAAACAAAGCCAGAGGGTTCAATGACTTGCCCAGGATCACAGAACAAGACAGACAGACCCTAGAACATCTCCTGTCCCCAGCCCAGGCCACCCACGGGGCACTGCTGGCCTTCTCTTCCTCTCTCCCATTTCTCCCATACCTTTCAGGACATGCTGGAACTCTCCATGTCTTCCCATCCTCCCTCAACACTCCTTGGCCACCACACACACACACCTCCGAGGAGCTCACCGTGAGGCCTTGCTGAACATCCAGCAGCAGCGTATGTACCTCCTCCAGGAACTTCCAGGATGGGTGGCCCTCAAGCAGCACTTCCTGCACTGACTCAGTAGCACTGAGGCTCACCCAGACCCACAGATACCGCAGCTCCTGCTGGCTGACCTGGGCCCTCTGCTGTGGGGACAGGAGAAATTGTTGAAGTCCCAAGACTTGAGCCTCTGGGCCCTCCCCACCACTACTCTGACCACCTGCCACCCAACTTGTGCCCACAAAGAGAGCAGACCATGGGCATCCACTGTGGACAGGGAGAAATCTTAGCCCGAGCCAAGGGCAGGCTTGCTTACGGGGCTGGGAAAGGCCCCTGGCAACATGACCTGCCAAGATCAATGTGCCTCTCAGGCTGGGCCCATGGGGTGTCCCGCAAGGCAAGGGTCTCCCAGCCCAGGATGGGATTCTCACCAGTCTGGTGATGTTGGCCATTCTGAGCACCCCCTCATAAGGCACGCTCACCCTGTAGTTGATGGGGAAGTAGTGTTTCTGGGGAAACACAAGAACAAACCATGAGGTCACAGTCAGAAATGGCTCAAACAGCCTCGCCCAACTCCCAACTTGATACAGGAGGAGAGGACCAAGAACCAGCCCTTTGATGGCAGAGGTGGCCTTCTATGAAGAATATGCACTTGCGGGGGAGGGGTGCCTGGGTGGCTCAGTCAGTTGAGCCTCTGACTTCTGCTCAGGTCATGATCTGGTGGTTCGTGAGTTCAAGCCCCACATTGGGCTCTGTGCTGACAGCTCAGACCCTGGAACCTGCTTCAGATTCTGTCTCCTCTCTCTCTGCCTCTCCCCCACTCATACTCTGTCTCTGTCTCTCAGAAATAAACATTAAAAAAAAAAAAAACAACAGATTGCTCTAAACTTATGGTGCTGGTTGCACAGCTCTGCCAATGTACTAAAAACCACTGAGCGGTACACTTAAACAGGTGAATAGTATGGTATGTGAGTTATAGCTCAGGAAGGCTGTCAAAAAAAGAAAAGTCTTGCATTGCCACGGTGCCACGTGAGCTTCTCTGCCCTACACAAAGGGAGCCACCCATTCCAACTTCTAAGACCTTATGTGCTGAGCTAATGTGCTGACCTTATGTGCTGAGGTCCCCAGGGAAGGGTGGCAGGGGAGAGGACTGTAATTGTGAACCAGGTACACTGCTGGATGTGGTGGAGAAAGGCGGAGAAAGGGGCCACGGTCAGCTCAGGGCTGAGGCCCCAAACGTCCTACACGCTGTGAGTCCAGGAGCTCGGGAAGGGGAATACAGTTGGGGGGTTCACAGTTACCATGTACTGAAGGCGGTTCCTGTACTGAAGCTTGTCCCGAAGAAAGCCAGTTACTGCACACTCCTCGCTCTGGGTCAAAGGCCACATCTCCAAACCCTCGTTCCCCAAGGCCATGGCAAGGAAGATCCCGAGATCTGTGGACAGTGACCAACCGGAACACATGAGTACACTGCCTGCCTGTGCAAAGCTGTGCACATCTGCCCTCCCTTTTCCGGGTCATGGGAGGGACAGGGCCATAGAGCCCCAAGGAGGCCTTTCCACCACAGGGGATGTTTTCCCTGGGGCCCAGGCTCAGACAGCAAGGCCAGGCAAGCATGGGCAGTCTGGCTGGTGTACCCCTACCCTTAGCCAGCAAAGCCCCCCAGCTGTCACACCCTGAGGTTGGTGTCCTGTCTCCTCCCCACTGCTGCCCCTTGGGGAAGGCACAACCTCCTCTCCAGGGAAACCTCAGCTCATACCCCATTTAGGGCTGACGTGTCCTCAAAGCCTACGTCTGCATTTCCATCTGGGGATCCAGGAGATGAGGACTTTCTAGTTCCAACTTTACAAATGACTTTTGTGTGAGCAGAACCATTTCCTCCCTGCTCTAACTGACCCTGGCATTCCTCTCAGATGTACAAATAACTACAGGCCTTCCAGTTTGTCCATTCTGGGGAGCAAGCAAATCAGGCTGCTGCTCCTCCCTCCCAGCAAACGAGTTGCTGTCTCGTGAACATTACCAGCCTTTACCACTAGGTGTCACTGTGACCTCAAAAACAGCTTTTGTGATTCCCAGAATTAATAACACTTACAAAAAAAATCTGAGAGGGGTGCCTGGGTAGCTCAGTCAGTTAAACTTCTGACTCTTGGTTTCTGTTCCCATCATGACCTCATGGTTCATGAGTTTAAGCCCAGCGTTGGGCTCTGCACTGATGGTGCAGGGTCTGCTTGGGATTCTCTTTCCCTCTCTCTCTCTTTCACAACAAACAAACAAGCAAACAAACAAACAAAAACCTGAGAATTTGCAAAAAATATGAACAAGGGTCAAATTGATCAGAGCAGAAAGGAAACAGAGGTGCGGGAGATGTATCCAAAAAATCAAACACACCAATAAAGGTAAAGAAATACATACTAAAACAATCAGGTGTCATATTTCACCTATCAAAATGGAAAGTGGGTTTTTTAAATTTCATTTTAATAACAGTGCTGACAAAGCAGTAAGGCAGGTGCTCTTATCTTGGAAAGCAATTTTGCAGTTTTATTATTAGTTAACTTAGTAATGTCCACACCCTTTGACCCATTAAACTCATTTCTAGGGATAAACATGAAGGAAAACAAAAAAAAGGAAGCCATCACCAAAAAATTTGTGGACAAAGACTCCCACTGCAGTATTCTCTTATAATAGTGAAAATCTGTAAATGGCCCACATGTTCATTAATGAGTGGAGCAAATAAAAACCACATTGTCAGGGCACCTGGGTGGCTCAGTCAGTTGAGTGTCTGACTCTTGGTTTCGGCTCAGGTCATGATCCCAGTGTCGTGGGATTGAGCCCCTAGTCAGGCTCCATGCTCAGCCTGCAGCCTACTTGGAATTCTCTCTCTCTCCCTCTGCCCTTCTCCCCCATGCACACTATCTTTCTCTAAAATAAATAAGATGAAAAAACCACATTGTCAAAGAATGTTTATGATATGCTTGTGTGATAAGAAATATACTCATGATATGCTTAGTAAAGTCTTAAAAAAGCATGACTCAGCACACCTCCTCTGGGTCTACACAGCATGATGTGAATTACATTAATTACATGCAAATGTGTATGCATAGGAAATGCAGTGGAA